CATGAGCTTGGCTAGTCGGTGCTGCCAACTAGCAAAGCAGGCCCGGCAGGCGAGGACAGTGCAAACCGTTTGCCGAGCAGCTTCCCGAGGACAGGGCAGGAGCAGGAGGCTGCGCCTGGATTTTGAGGTCTGCTGTCTAGTCGGTGTTTATGTGCGGATGAGTAATTTCCTGGGGGGGGTGTCACAGGAGAGAGAGAGCCCAAGCTGCTGGAGAAAAGCCCAAGTGTCCGGCCGAGCTAACGCCAAATCCCTGGGCTTGCCTGAACCCAGGCAACTTCAGCCTAGACCATCAGAAACACTTAGACGTTCCACGGTGCACACGGGAAGTCTCAGCTGGGAACTCCCTGCATGCTTAACCACGTAAAAACCTTGGCAAGGTCAGGCCGTCCCTACGGTCCTGGCACCTCCTCACCAGGTCAATGCCTTGCCCTTGCCAACGCTCGCTGTGGCCCTTCGTGGTGACTAAAGAAGCTACAAAAAAGCCACAAACTTATTTGACGTGCCTCCTAGGCCTGATTCTTGAATCCACAAGGAGATAACCATGTAAAGAAAATGGCTCAGACCCTCAGTAATTACCAACATATGCAGCAGCAGCAGACACTTCCCCAGCTCCCTGTTGCTGTGATGCTTTTTCTCTTTCTCATTGCTACATACTCCCTGCGTGACTGTGTCTATGGATGTGAATTCCTACTGCATGGGTTTGTGGTGGGTTTTTTTACTTCATAAACGTAGCAATTTAGTTTAAACTGATTTTTGACCTAATTAATGAGTTTAAAGTAATTTTACTATAAGATTTTTTTTTTTTTTGCTGAAAAAGCAAATCTTTCAAGTAGCTGAAACCAGTGGATTGAGGGAAATATTCGTACATAACCCTTTTAATATTTTAAATTTATCTTTATTGAGAAAGATTTAGTCCCACATTACTCGTTTCCTTCATTGACTCTGTGTTGTAAGGCGACATTTTTTTTACTAAATATTATATTACTGTATTTTGTAAGTAGTGGGAACAAAATGCATAGTGTTCGCCCAGCCTGGCTGTAAAGCGATGGTTGCTTTTTATGTGGCCCAGCTTTGTAGTCGCTGGCATCCTTAGCGATTCGGATAAAAGTCCAGCTCTGCAACACTTCAGCCACAGCAGACCAGTGGGGGTCTTGAATCTAGCTACCTGGGAAAGGACCATTTTCACTACTGCTCAGCCACTTCCAAGTCAAATACATAATTGAAAGAGGCTGTTTAATGTTTACTTCCTACAGTGACAGCGATATTTCCATATTTCTAGCTGTGTAAACAGCCACAACGCCCTCAAATGCAGATTAAGGGCCACAGCCCGAATCCTGCACCTGCAGGACGAGGCAGCCTCCTGGCTCCATCTCCTGGCCCACTGGGGCACTAGCCAAGCCCCAGCCCAGGCTCCAGAGCCGTGGGGAGCTTGGACCCACGTCCAAGGCATTAGCACCAGCGCAGGAACCGAGCTTGTCTGTATTCTTGGGGATCTGGGCCGCAGGCCCTCACGGTGCCATATAGTCCATATATATAACCAGAGTATTTTCCACATAAACCTGGAGGGCGGCTGAAATCGCAAAACACTGGGCCGTGTTCACGTGTGTCATCTATGACCCCCTTTTGGACCTGCCCTGGAATCGGTGTACATTGACCTCCTTAGTGCCAACACAGCACATAATGTCCTGAGGTCGTTTCTCAAGAGCTGCTGTCCCTCTCCTTCAGCGAAGGCCATGAAGCGAGGGCCAGCTTCTTTTCCTAGTGGCCTTGTTTTAGCTCAGGACACCCAAAGAGCCTTTCGGAGCTGTGAGCTAGCGGGCCCAATGACCAGGCCATCGCCAGCAACTGCCACCTTGTAGGATGGCAGCTAGTTTCTACCAGAGCTTCCCCTGGCCGGCGAGCTCCTGCACCCGCTGCCCTGCAGCAAAGCCCTCCTGCAGCCTCCTGTGCTGCCTTGCCGAGGCAGCAGCCTCCAGCCGCGCAAAGGCTTGCATCCATAATATATGGGCCCCAGACGCGTGGCTCAGCATCAGGAGCAGCTGACTCAAGCAGGTGCGTTTTGTGGGCAACTGCTCTGTCCCTCTCTGTCTGTGCACGGCCGCTCTCCCGGGCACCCAGAGCTCCTAGCTCACCTCGTCTATGACACCCTCCTCACACTCTTTGCCAGGGTGGCTGCAGGCACGGATACCATACCTTTGAAGCTTTTTTCCATTATGTATGTGTTCTGACGTCTATCCATCCCACAAGCACCTGCATAAAAATGATATATAATGGAAAACAAATAAATATTTATGTAAATTGGATTGCTTTGACTGCTGAGCAGCATATATTCTTTCCACTAAATTGTACATCCAGGTTCTCATTTAGGGAGGCTCTTAAGCTCATCCTTAGCTGTAAGCATGCCCTCAGCTTCAGTGGGGGGTTCTGGGCATGCCTAAAATTACACACATGCTTAAGAGCCTCCCTGGAAGGGAGGGCTTTCCTGACGCAGGGCACTGCTCAGTACCAAGAGTAGCTATCGGTCAGGAGAACAGAAGAAACATCTTCTGGTCTGTTCATTACTGAATCACTGTGTTAGATGGATAAAGGAAACCCAAAACAGATCAATTCCAGTTTTAGACTGCAGGTCACATTGCATTACTCTGTGACTAATTTTAGGCTCTGTTTCCTTTGTGGGTAGTACGTTATTTAATTCACGGTCTCAGATTCCAAGATGGTGTGTACGATAATTCTAAATTAGTTTACATGACTTTGCTTTAAAACTTGCACAATTCAATAACTGCTGTGAGAATTGTCTCTGAATGACTACAGCAGGCTGAAAAAGCAGCAATTAAGAGTGCAGAGTTGATAGCAGAGACTTCTGCATTATGTGATTGCAGAAGAACCTGCCACTACTTACATAGGCAGAGGTGGAAGGGGATGGAAACTTTTTCCATTTTCACTATTGAAAATTATCCTAGATATCAATCAGGTCAAAGGCAAATCTAATGCAAGTCCTTACATCTTTTTAACTACATAGTCTGGTATTTCTTATTGACTAGCAAAATCAACACAAATTTGGTTACTGAAATAGAAATGTCTTAGTGGCTTATAGTATCTACCATCAAGTAACTTTGTTATACTGTTAAAAGAGCTCCACAAACAGCATGTCCCAAAAACCTCCTGGCTGTTTGTCCTTGTATGTCCTCTGGTCTCTAAAGCAAGAACTGTCACCACTGCAGTGGTGCAGTGGTCACCGCTATCCCAGTTCCTTCAGCAACTTTGGCTTTTTGCTAACTAAGGAAAATCACTGAATAAGACAGTGGATGTGTTACTGACACATCAGAGAGAAACACCTGTGCTCTGACTCTCAGCGTCGCCATCGCCAAGCGCAGGAAAAGGGCTGGAGGCACATGAACGCGGCTGGGACAGCGCTCGTTCCCTTCTAGCCTGGAGTGAGCCCACAAAACCAGCTGAGGGACTTTATGCCTTGTCTTGCACTACTCATAATGAGCCATTTCCTAGCACAGTGGGGAAGATCTGTCACGTAACAATAGCCTCTGGGTGCTTCTTGGCTCTCCTGCATTTTGCTAGGGGAGACTCCTGAGCGCAGGCGAAGGAGCTGATTCATCCCGTGGTTCATGTCCACAGGGCTTGTGCTCCCTGCCGGGCTGTGGTGCTCCAGGAGGCCGTCAGTTCAGAGGGGAGCCTCCCCGGGGGCCATGTCCCCCCACTGGGGCTGAGCTGAACCTCCCAGAGACGGGAAACCCTCAGCAACATTAGGGCAGGAAAACAGGCAAGGGGTCTCCATCAAGGAGCTCACACCACCAACTGAGGTGGGCATGTAGGAAGCCAGTACACACACAGCAGGGGTTGTGGTGCCACTCTGAGCAGCCTCGTGAAATCTTTACATCGATGTTCCCACTGCGACTGCGAAGTCCTAGACCTGAATGAAGGCTGGTGAGCCCTGAGCCCTTGGGGGTGCTGTGAGGACTCAGCAACATCCAGTTGCACTTCTTTTTGTGGCTCAGCGTTGAAGGAATCCACCGTCAGATGATTTTTAATCAGCCTAACTCCACCAGTGTTGCTGCCAGGCCTATGGGGAACGGCAGGTATGGCCGCACGGGCTTCTGCAGCAGCAGCGAGCTCATTGTGCCAGCTCTGAAGGCCCCGACTCGCTGTGAGCCCTCCAGCAGAGCAGCATCTGTACGGACCCAGTGCTGGCCTGAGTGAACCTGACTTCTGGTTCAGAGCTGGTCCTGAGCAGCACTTGCCCTCCCCGGGCTGCCGAAGAGCATGTTGCCACGCTCGCCGACCAGCCTCGTTTACGCCAGAGCAGCTGTGCAAAACCGAGAATCCCTGTCATGGGAGGATTGCCAAGAAAAAGTGAGAGCCACCTGTGAGGCAGGACACTGGGAGAGGCGATCCTGCCTTGGGAAGGCTACAGGATCCCTCAAAGCCCTTCCCAGCCTAAATTGCCTTTATTCCACCTTTGGTCATATTTTGTCTCTGTTATAATTCTGTGTTTTTATAACCCATTTTTGTGTATTCACTACAGTCCTCAAGAGGCAGAATGAATGATGGAGTCATTATTCTGTAAACTGCAAAAGTAGTTAATGTGGAAAAGGCCTCACCAGGCCTGGAATCTGGCACTTCAGGAAAGTTCAGGTTTATGTCTGAAGCTAAATCATCTGCTGGGGTGAAATCAGAGGCCCAGCCTGCAATATTTTTCCACACCTCTTGGCTTTGAGAAAATGTCAAGTTAGCTTTGAATCAAACTTAGTGGCTTTGGTCCTCCTGTGGAATAAATGCAGCTTTGAGTCACCCAAGACGTACTGCAAAACATATGTTTGATCTCTGCATTGAGGGCGGCTGTTAAAGAAAACCACGTAACAGATAAAACCAGTCTTGTTTACAGCCTGCTGTGTCCAATACTTGAGCTAATTAGCACTACCACCTTTTCTAAAAGCAGTGAGTGTGCTTTTGACCTGGTCACAATAGGAGCTGGACTCTGCAATTAACACAGCTGGACTAGAGCAAACCAGAGCTGCCGCGTGGCCGACAGCCCCAGCTCTGCACCGAGAGCAGCACGCAGAAAGGCAAAGACAAGTCATTCCCTGTGGCTAGCCAGACACAGTTGCATTAACCAGCAACAACCGCAAAGCTGACAAAGCCACCTCTCCTTGGCACCACAGGTTCCCCAAATGCCGACCTCTCCACCACACGTCCATGAGAATTAGTTGCACACTGGATGTCACTATCTGAAACGTGCTCATCACTGTCCCCCAGCTCCATTTAACAGATATGATTATCTCTATGAAAAAGCCTGAAAAACTGGTATTTGAATCTCACAGGCAAATGTTCCAGCTGTGATAATGTAGGATGACTACAACTGAACTAAGATGGAGCAGGCGCCCTTACAGACGGTCTGACCCACCAGACCTGCTGAAACATGGGTCCTCGCCAAGTGTGTGGGGGTGGGTGGGTGGGGGTGCGTGCGTGCGTGCGTGTGTGTGTGTGCGTATGTTAGAATAAACTAACATAAAAACACGTTTGAAGTCCATAAGGCTTCTAACAAGCCCGTAGACCATTTTGTGCGCTGATGCTCTGTCTCACTCGGCTGGTGTGGAAAGCCTGTGCTTTGGGAACACTGCTGCAGCAAGTGGCATCGCTGGCTGAAGAACCAGGGAAGCAACTAGACAAGAAGAGGGTTTCCATCCATTCTGAATTTCTCCTCAGTTTCCCTTGAAGTCCTCCTCCCTACCTGTAGCGCACTTCCACATCTGCTGTTTATAACACTTTGCGGGGTCACAGCAGAGCTGTCGGCCACCTCTCTTCCAGCTCTTTTTAACTGAGCGCAGCCATGGTGTAACTGGGAGGCTGCGCAACGCTGCAGCACGATTCCTGCACCCGATTTGGAGCAGCTGTGCTGGAAAAGCTGGGACTGATGGTGGGATGAGAAGGTGGAACACCTCTTTAACTCTTTGGCATTTCCATATGTGATGTTCTTTCAGGGTCAAGATCCCTTAATGTGACCTAATTAGGTTTCACTTACATTTAATGTTTATAATTCAAATTAAAGGTTTTTTTTTTTCCTTTTGTCTGTGATTTGCACATATAAAGGGAATCTGCAACTTCTAGTACGTAAAAGGAACACAGTTAAATGAAAAATTTGTGTAAAAAAAGGCATTGTTCAGAACAAGAGCATAAAAAGCTATGAAAATTAGCATAAACAAACATTAGTTTTGGTGCTGAAAAGGAAGGAAAAAAAATCTCATTTTTATTATTTAGTGTGAAACAGGAATTTCAAAATAAGGAAAAAAAAGTCTCAAATGAAAAATCTGGGCTCCCAAATGCTGTGGAAAAAATTGTGACTATTTTTGCTGGAGATCACTTACTGAAGTATTTATCACGTCTGCATATCATTCCCTGCAAAAGCATTCAGCACCACTTCTGCCAGTAAAATAAGCTGCATGAATGTAGGGCAATGTGGCACGCAGGGAGTTCACGGCACCACAGGAGAAAAACAAATAAAGCCAGTGAGTAAAGCTGTAAAATGGTAAAAGGAAAATCAACTCGATTCAAGGAGCATTTGGAAATCCTCTCCTTCCCCAACTCTCCATGTTATCACAGCTAAGCACAAGAGCAGTTCTGCAGATTACTATACAGAAGAAAATGTTAACGGCTGCTAATGATGCAGAAAACTTTACACCAAAGCTCTACAATTTTGTGATTTTCCTGATGCAGGGAAAACTTGATCTTTGCAGCAAGCCATGGTGCGTGACCAAAAACGCGGTGACAAGATGTGATGCCTGGTGGTGTCTCATGTTAATTCCTTCTCCAGGTGAGTTGTGAGATGATTGACCTTAAAAAATCCCATAATACGCTTAACATTGCACTTTCCCTCACACTGTCGATTCCCAGTAAGATGTCAGAAATCCCAGTAAAGGAAAGGGAAAAGCTTTCTGCCACTGACAAGCTAAACTCCAAGTGCTCAGACTGGAAAACAAATAGCAGCCAAAGCACTAAATCTGGCTTGGTTTTGAGAAAGAGCTGCTAAAAACCCTGTTAAAACTGAAGCCAGGGAGAATAAATGGAGAAAGGACAATCAGACCTCACTCTTGGCTTGTTCGCACTGGCTGGTCGTTCAAAATTGCCTGAAAAATGGCCACTGTACGAGGACCCACGAGGCGGCAGTGCCGAGCCCATAAGGCAGTGCCCGCCAGGGCTGCACAAAGGGTTTTGCTGAGATGGCAATATTCAGCCCTAAACTGTATTAAGCACAAACGAAAAAAAAAACAAATTTGAATTTTCATTGTTCTAAGTTTGTCCTTAAAAACCATTTGTAGAACAGATGAATGATTCAACCAACCAGCCAGGGAAGTAAGCCTAGAGCGAGTATTGACTCTGCTGTTCGAACCCATGGTTTGTGCTAAAGGAAATGATTTTCAAATCTCTATCTTTCACTCCTGGCAATTCTAATAATTGTGAAATAAACACGATACCGATATTCTTCATTATTGTTAATGCCTTTATGAAAGGCAGATTTGGATTTGGAATTGCTCTAAAGTCTACTAAAAGGATTAAATTGTTTAAAAATTACTAACCTAGTTCATTCAGATAGCTGTAGGGTCTCCAGTCTGCGGTTTCTCTGTCAAGGGTTTTGTTACTGAGCTGTGCAAAAAGTATGATAATGGGTTAATGCTGACAGAAACAGACAGTTCCCACCCGAGACGTCAGCCCCGTGATGCCATGAATCAAAATGGTAGATGACTTCTGCTGTGGCCTCAGCGTCTCAGCTATTTATCAGTATGAAGTCTGACAGTTGTTCACTGGCATCAGGGAAAATCACAAAGGTAAGTCACTTCAGTGAGCAATGAACACAAGCATGCGGGAAAATACAGGCTTTCTAGTGTAGACAGTAATCCCGATTCAAATGGGTGAACGGATGGACGTGCCAGCTGTTTCAAACCACCTGATGAAATGGATGCGTTGAAAACAGCCGCGTACGCGTGCAGCCAGCAGCCGCTGGGAATGAAGGGGCTCGCTAAGGCAGCCGTGTATTTATGGGCATGAGATTTCTCACAATTCAAGGAAAATCACATTGAAAATAACAAGGCATAAAGCCTCAAGCAGATCTGCCAGCAAAATCAGATGAGCCCAGCGTTGCCATCCAGATGTCACCGCTGGAAAAAGCGTTTCTTCCACGTAGCGTGCCCAGGTGGCCAGAGCAGCCGCCGTTGGTGCCGGCACGGGCCGAGGCGCGCGGGGAA